AATGATCAAACCCAAAGGTGGATTATTGAGATTTGTCCAATTAAACGGATTGAGATAATTAATGTAGAATATATAATAGATAATGTACTATTCCCAAAGGAATTTCTTTTTGATATTGTATTATCTATGATTAATTAGTCTCAAAGGTGAAATTTATTTCACTAGTGGGAGACTAACATTTAACAATATTGGCCCAAGGAAATATTGTTGAATGTGATGTTGATCCCCATTCGAAGTCAATTATTTTGAGGCATAATATATTGATTCTGAAAAGTTTGATTGTTTCCCATCAATTAAACTATTTAATTGTGGCCTTAATTATTTGATTTTATGTGAATTATATTTTATGTTATGGCAGTTGGTTCATTACCGTGTGTGAAAGCCCTGACTGGATCTAATTTCTCAGACTGGAAAAATGAAATAATTTTTAATTTGGGTCTTGGGGATTTAGACTTAGCCATTAGGTCAGATGAACCACCTAAGCCTACAGACACTAGTGGTGCAGAGGTGAAAAAGGAATGGGATAAATGGACAGGTCTAATAGACTTAGTCTAATGTATATTAAGAATAATATTCCTAAATATATTAGGGGTGTCATTCCTGATAAACCATTGGCTAAGGATTACCTTAAGGCTCTAGAAGAACATTTTACTATTTCGACTAAGTCACTGGCTAGCACTCTTATGACTCAATTAGTAACTGCAAAATATGATGGTCTAAGTGGTGTGCATGAGCATATCATGAAAATTACTGATATTGCATGTCAATTGAAAAATCTGGACATAGAAGTTAGTGACTCTTTTCCAATCCACTTTATTATGACTTCTCTTCCTGCGCAATTCGATATTTTTTAAACTATTTATAATGCGCAGAAAGATAAGTGGAAATTAACAAAACTAATTAATATGTGTGCACAAGAGGAAGAGCAAACCCGACACAATAAGTCCGATATGGCACACATTGTGGATCAGAAAACAATCAAGAAAAATAATAAGAAAACTGGGAAAAGGGGTATAAAGGTTAATGATGTTGGACCAGTCAGGCATATAAAATGGGGAAAAAGAAAGTTCAATGCTTCTGGTGTCACAAGCGAGGCCATGTCAAAAAGGAATGCTTTAGTTACAAAAATTGGTTAGCAAATAAAGGTAGCACCCATTGTCTAGTGTGTTTAGAATCTAATTTAGCCATTGTTCCGCCAAATACTTGGTGGATTGATTCTGAGGCTACTATTCATATTTCTAATTCCTTGCAAGAATTCATAAGGAGCCGAAAAATCAATCCCAACCAAAGGACACTCACCATGGGTAATGGGGTAGAAGTATAAGTTAAAGCTGTGGGAGTTGTTCGTCTTGTCCTTAGTAGTGTTTTTGTATCAAAGTTAGAAGATGTTTTGTATATTCCTTTAATGTCCAGGAATTTGATCTCTGTACCTAAACTTGATATGTTGAACTATGAATTTCGTTTTAGTAATAGTAATATCAATATCTTTTATGATTCCAAATTTATTGGTTCTGGTTCATTAGTTGATAGTCTTTATCTTCTAAATCTTGACCCAATTTTTTCACAATCTCTTTTGTCTTTTAATGTGAGTACCAAACGTGGTCTTACCAATGATTCTTCTTCTATGTTATGGCATAGGCGTTTAGGTCATATCTCTAGAGAGAGATTAGAAAGATTGGTTAGAGAAGGTGTTCTGAACACATTAGATTTTTCAGACTATGGCATATGCATTAATTATGCTAAAGGAAAGTTAACCAAGTCTAGACATAAGGGTGCTACTAGAAGTAATGGCCTCTTAGAGCTTATACACACAGACATATGTAGTCATTTCATTCCTGCTATACTAAACGGGAAGAAATACTTTATTACATTTATTGATGATTATTTTTGTTATGGTTATGTGTATTTGATTGGTGAGAAATCTGAGTCACTGGATATTTTTAAAATTTATAAGACAGAAGTCGAGCATCAGCTTGATAAGAAAATTAAAGTAGTACGATCTGATCGTGGTGGTGAATACTACGGAAGGCACGATCATACAGGTCGTAATCCAGGGCCATTTGCTAAGTATCTACAAGAGTGTGGTATAGTTGCACGGTACACTATGCCGGGTACCCCTGAGCAAAACGGTGTAGCTGAACGAAGGAATCGCACTCTTTTAGATATGGTGCGAACTATAATGAATAATTCATCTTTACCAGATTTTTTGTGGGGTGAAGCTCTTAGGACTGGTGCATATATCCTAAATCGAGTTCCGTATAAGGCAGTTTCAAAGACTCCTTTTGAGTTGTGGATAGGAAGAAAACCCAGTTTAAATCACTTGCGTATCTGGGGATGTGCAGCAGAGGCTAAATTATACAACCCACATGAAAAGAAACTTGATCTCAGAACAGTCAGTTGTTATTTTATAGGATATCCAGAAACGTCAAAAGGTTATAGGTTTTATTGTCCATCACATAATACCAGACTTATTAAGACCCTAAATGCTAGGTTCATTGAGGATGGTTATACCAGTGGGAGTATAGAGCCCAGGCACAAGGTATTTGAGGAAAATCGAAATATAAATTTAGTTCCTCGGGATGACATCATTGTCCCACTCGTTACCATGCAAGATGGTGATTTAAGTCATTAAGAGCCTGAAGAGCAAACACCTCACATAAAATAAGTCTCAAATGAACCAATAGTTGACATGCCATTACGAAAATCAAGGAGAGAAAGGAAAAGTGCTATTCCAGATGACTATGAAGTTTATCTACAAGAGATTGAGTTCAACATTGGTAAAGAAGATGATCCACTATCATTTTTAGAAGCCAGAAGTAGCACTTTTGCTCAACAATGGTCAGATGCAATGAAAGATGTTAGTAGCTCATTTTGATTTGGAGTTACATCAAATGGATGTAAAAACTGCATTCCTAAATGGTGATTTGCTCGAAGAAGTTTATATGGAACAACCCGAGGGTTATGAAATTGAGGGCAAAGAACATATGGTGTGCAAGTTAAGAAAATCTATTTATGGGTTAAAACAAGCATCAAGACAATTGTACATAAAATTTGATGAGATAATTACTTCATATAGGTTTAAAGAAAATATTATTGATGAGTGCATTTATATGAAAGTTAGTGGGGGTAAGTTCATTTTTCTAGTATTGTATGTTGATGATATCTTACTTGCTAAGTAGTGACATTGGCCCTACATGAGACTAAACATTTTTTATCTCAAAGTTTTGAAATGAAAGATCTTGGTGAAGCCTCATTTGTCGTTGGCATTGAGATTCATCGAGATAGATCTCGTAGGATTCTTGGATTGTCACAAAGAGTCTATATAGAAAAGGTTCTTAAAAGATTTGATATACAATACTGTAAAGGTGGAATTGCCCTTATAGTAAAGGATGATAAATTTAGTAAATTCCAGTGTCCAAGAAATGACCTAGAGAGGGAGTAAATAAAAAACATTCCCTATGCATCTACAGTTGGGAGTTTGATGTATGCTCAGATTTGCACACGGCCAGATATAGCATTTGCTGTTGGTATGCTAAGCAGATACCAAAGTGATCCTGGCATGGATTATTGGAGAGCGGCAAAGAAAGTAATGAGGTACCTACAAAAGACAAAGAACCATTTGCTTATATATAGAAGGACCGACAGGCTTGAAGTGGTGGGTTATACAGACTCTGACTTTGCTGGTTGTCAGAATAGTATGAAATCCACTTCAGGATTTATCTTCATGATGGCTGGAGGAACAATTTCATGGAAAAGTATTAAACAAACATTAACAACTTCATCCACCATGGAGGCAGAGTTTATTGCATGTTATGAGGCCACTTGTCATGCATTATGGTTACGGAACTTCATCTCAAGACTTATGGTTGTAGATTCTATTTCTAAACCATTGATGATTTTCGGTGACAATTCCGCTGCAGTTATGTATTCAAGGAACAACAAGAGTTCAAGAAAATCTAGACATATAGATATTAAATACCTTGTTGTAAAAGAGAGGATTCAGAACCAACTTGTGTCTATTGAGCACATTAGTACACAACAAATGATTGTTGATCCCATGACTAAAAGGTTGCCGCCTAAGCTATACAGTGAGCATGTTGCTCATATGGGTATTATTGATAGCTTCGATTTACTTAGTTAGTGGGATGTTATTTTTGACTTAGTTGTAGACACATTTGTATTTGTGATCACATTTTCTTATATTATATTATCCTCATATATTTAGTTTTCCATATTGGTGCACACGTGTATGGAAAATTATAAGTGTCATTTATGAGACAAGGTGTGTCCTTATTGAGACGCGGTAGGACCGAAGCATGGCATAATACTTTATTGTTTAGCACATGCGGTATTTATGTATAATATTGAAGTTGAGTGTATTAATGTTTGTGACCATTGATTTCCTATATTATTAAATAATATAATGACGTCCTTGATCCAATATTTGTATACTTGTAAGGACTTCATGGAAGTTGTTTGGTACAATGATTCTCTAAATATAGATAATTTATTTAAAGTGTGCACACCAACATTATTTCAAAATATTTTTTCATAAAAAATAATAATAATAATAATAATAATAATAATAATAATTAATTAATTAATTATGATTATAAGAACAAGTGGGGGAATGTAAGAATTTAATGGTCTTTTTATAATAATTAATCTTAATTTTATTTAAATTATTTTATTATCTAGGAGATGTAACATTGTATCATAACAGTTATTTAATTACAGAGGGATGTGTTGGTTGATGGAACCAACATGTTTCCTCTTGGCAATGCTTAGAAACGGTCCCAACCCTCTATATATATACGTGAAGGAAAGGTCTGAAATTATCGTTCAGTTTCACAGATAAAGGTGAGCGTTGAAGAGTGTTTCTGTGTGGTGAAGTGTTTATGTGAATCAGAGTGTTTCTATAATGATTGTTCTCAAACACAAACGGCTAAAGATGGCAGGTACGTTTCTAAACAATATTTATGCATTAGAACCATGTATTTTAAATATGGTTGAATTTGCTTACATCAGGTTCCTACCTTCATATTGAAATCGATCAGTGGAAAACTTTTTCCACCTTCTAATTTCTCCAGCCTTTCACAAAGCATGTGATCAAGTTTCTGAACAAACTTAGATAATTAAAGAATTCTTGGAGAAAGGATCAGAGATGAGACGCCTAATCCTTTTCGACTCTATTGAGGAGTGCATAGCAAGTTCTTCTTTCCTACAACGTCTGCCATTTTTTTCACATTTCCTTTGTTGAATAGCACAAAGTCATTAGATAATATTGCTTTTGCACCTTCATGTACACTCGGAACAAACATGTGAATCTTTCCAAGTAGTATTGTTTCGAACTCTCTCGCCACGCCTAATTAATCGTCTGGTCTGCCTCAGTTAATTAGCTTCCAGGAAAAAACTGTAGTTTTGAACTCTAAAAGTGCCCAGCATATCAGCATAAATATTTACAGAAAGTGTCAAAGAGCAAGAATGAATTCAAGACAGAAATCATTCTTGTATTGATTCACAATTTCTTTTTTACTTGTTTAATTCAACTTTGTCACGCTACTAAAATTCCAAATCCACCATCCACTGATCACTGGTAATTTTCATGTTCGTGGTCACAATTTTCTAAGAACAGCAACAAAAGTAATGGGCCTAATCTCTTCTTTAGCCATCTCTTCATCCACTAATCTTCCATAGATCTTGAACAAACGATCAACAATTCCTTCTCCGAAATGGTGGCAAATCATTGACTCTTGGATGGCCCTAACTGTCATTGCAACTGCCGTTCCATAGCTCATTTTGTCCCCAACATCCTTCTCGTATTCAAACATTTCAAACCGGTCCATTTCAAAAGAACCCTCTCTCCTAACTTCATCTTCTAGTTCATCTTTGGATGGTATATAAAAATGAACATCATAAGAATCAAGCTTTTCCTCCTCAATTTCTCCCTAGAAAACCACATAACTAGTATCAATACATATTCATATGTATAAAGAGTAAGCCCAGTGGACAAGACATACCGATACGCTATTTCCTGTTTTTAACTTGTGGCCTTCTGGTTTTAATAGAGTAATCTTACCATTGGCCCTCCCTCATTCAAATTTATATATATGTATGTGTATTAAAAAAAAAAAAAATGTGCTCTTACATATATGACCAAGCAATTTAGTAGCACTTACGGTACCTGAGAAACCAAAATGGCAAAGGATTGAGACAAAAGTTTCCAGAAGAACGAGTTGCCTCTGTCAATATGATTTGAACTCCACCGTCCCACCAAGATCAGCACCATCTTTCCCCGGCTGATCAGCTCCTCGGATCGTGACCGGAGGAACAGTGAGAAGTCCTCTTGGAATTGTCTGAAGTATGCTTCGCACACCTGAGAAGGGCTGGATTCAGATATGTAAACATTGCCTTTGTTTATTGACTTGCCCTGCTTATCATAGAGTGCTGGAGGAACCTACATAACATGATGGCCGATATAGGTCAGACTATCGACTTACAAGAAGTAAATGTTGCATATACCTATTTTTCATTTGTATATCTAATGTACAAAAATACATACTAAGGAGGTTTATCTTTGACAGTATTAGTATATGCTCTGCACTCTGAAGAAAAGAATAAGAGTTCAGAGTTCCAATTAAGACAAATGATACTATTCAGGGTAGGACCCCGTCTATATCTGTGGGTGGTGGGTGATAAAACACATCCAACACACACTGCAAACAAACACCACATTTATGTCTCTTATGTTTCCATGAGAATGCCCATCAACTGTTTTCAGATTGTCCATAATGATTGTTGAATGAAATATTTTCTTCTTGTTTTTCCAGATAAATGACTCTCACGGTGCTATTGGAGAGACTTGAACCTTGTACTTTTAATTTTAAAAGAATAAGAGATGTCACTAGACCACAAATTTTGATATTGAATCGGACTTTGTGCCGTGTCATGTAACTCGTGTTCTTTAGTTTTAAGAGCAAACTATTGTGATCAAGCGCTCACTAAGTTTGCGCCCTCTAATTTGAAAAGATATAAGGCTCATAACCCCTAATAACTTTTTCTAGTGTTTAGTTTGAATAGAGATCAATCAATAAAAACTTTTTAGAATTAGAAATTCATACTTGTATATGTTCCCAAAAAGCTAACAAAGTTGAAGAAAAGAAAAGAAGCTTATACCTTAGAGAGCCAGTGCAAACTATTGGAGGAATGGATGAAGTGCAAGCTGTTGTTAGGAAACAGCCTTCCATAAAAGGTGCCTGGATACCCAGCTATGTAAATACATGGACCCCCATCTTCTCTCCCTTCCCTGAGCTCCCTAATAAAATCCGGCAACGCCTTGAAGATTGTGTTGAAGTCGTTGGCCGGAAGATCATTCAGGTACACTCGGTACTCTGGTGCCGGTTGCAAGAGTTTCCGACTCGTGGCTTCAATAGCATCCACCATTTCCCGTATGATGGATAGTGTGTTGTGTCCGGAGGAACAACCCAAGTCAGCTATTGTTATGCCCTTTGGAGCTGTTGTGAGGTAGACGTCCTGAATGGTCTCTAAGGTTATGTGCTTCACCGTATCAGAGACCTTCTTCTGCATAAAATTAAGGTCCATGCGTTTGTACGAGATTTTAAAGGATAATATATATAGTTACATATTAAGCTTTTTATAGCATATGTTTAGAATAGATTTTGCCTAGGATGGTACAAGGAGAGAGAGAGAGAGAGAGAGAGAGACCTGAAGTGAAGAGTTTTTGGCGTAGCTAGTTTCTCCAACTCCTACAGTCATGTGGAAAACTTGGTGGGCATCCATGGTGGTGGGTAGGGGAGTTCCTTTGAAGCTTTCAAGTCAAAAAAATGAGCTTGTGATCCCTATAGACCCCCTTTTATGAGCAATTCTTTCTTCACTATAAAAGGTAATGGGACTATAATTTTTTTTTAGTACAAAATTGTTGATGGACATTTGTCATTATTGGGTCTTGGTGCATTGGTGGGGATTGTTTGGAGGGATCTGATGTGTTCACACTTGTAAAGGGCAAAAAATAAACTTGACCCTATTGGGTGGACAAATTAAATAAGAGAAAAAACTTTAATGCTCCATGGCAGTGGTGACATGGTATTATTAAAATAGCAAAATAATTTAAAGATAAAATATTTTAATTTATTTATCAAAGTGAATTAATTAAGATCATGTCAAAATGAATTAAAGTAGGAAAATGATTTAAAGGTAGAATATTTTAGTTTATTTGTCAAATTAAATTAATTAAGACCATATCAAAATAAATTAAAGTAGGAAAATGATTTAAAGACAGAATACTTTAGTTTATTTGTCAAAGTGAATTAATTAAAACTATAGTAACTGATCGGTAAGTGAAAGTACAGGTCCACTACAAATTATCAATGACTTAATAATAAAGTAATATATTTTATATATATGTTGATAAGGTATGATTAGTAAACGTTATTGATGATGTGGTACTCTGGATGAAAAAAATTATATTTTGGGTGAAGGGGGAGGGATGTGTCTTCCCATGACCAATTTGTCCCCAAAAAAATCCAATGAACAAGAGTTTGACTATCCCAGCTAGCCCACCAAAACTGCGCCAAAATTTTGTGAAAGGATTTACACAACTTTTTCGTGGGGGAAAATTTGTCATAGCATCAACGCAAAACAGTCAAAACACCCTTCCTACTCATTCTCTTCACAAACGTCCCCATCCAATTATCCAAACTCTTCTTTATCAACCAAAGAATGCCCATATCATGTCTCAACCCTGCCAAACTACAACATATCCCTTTCACCAATGTCACCAACCTTACCACTATCCCCATAAATGTTTTTTTTTTTAATAATTAATTTCTCTCTCTCTCTCTCTCTCTCTCTCTCTCTCTCTCTCTCTCTCTCTCTCTCTATATATATATATATATATATATATATATATATATATATTTTTTTTCTTTCTTTTACTCCTCCTCCTCGTCTTCTAATTCCCTTTTTAAAAAAACTTATATTCCTCTTCTTCAATTAAATTCAACATTTTTTTTTCTTCAAATTTCTCTCATATATATATATTTTTTTCTTTTTATTCTCTTCTTCCTCTCCTTTTATTTTTGTTTTCTCTTTTTAAAATTTTATTCCTCTTGAACTGACGCAGGTGAATAGAAGGGAAGATGAAGAATATAGAATAAGAAGACGCAACCAAAAGAAGGAGTTGGACAAACAATAACTAAATTTTATAATATCATTATCAAAATATAATTCAAGTTCAAGTTACATTTTCATCTTCAATCAAACACACACACATATATATGGGTACAAATGCAAAAAAAAAAGTATAAATTTAAAATTTTATGAAATTTTTTATTATTGCATTTTTCATAATTTCAGTGGGGACAATTTCAAAATTTTATGGGTACAAACACAAAGAAGTATAAATTTAAAAATGTAAAATGCAATAATAAATATTAGTAATTGAAATAAGTCTTCATCTTCTACTTCTGTCTATAGCTCCCAACTTTTAAAACAAGTCACAAAGTTGACAACTTTAAATTAACCAACTTACTAGATACACAATACAAAATATTATAAATATTAGTAATTGAAATTTTAAGTTTTTAATTGCAAGCCAATTCTCAAAGACAACTTTTGATCTTCTAATTAGTCACTTAAGCACCCACATGGCGTTGATGTGGCTGCCATGTTGGCACTACATCATCTTGAAGTGAAAAATAACTCATTCACAAGTTTGAAACAAATTGTCATAATCGATAAAAAAATTCGAGCACAACATTTGATTCCTTCTTTCTTCTTTTTTGAACTCGAATCGATTATACACAATAATCTTCTTTTCTAATACAGAATACAATTGCATAATAAACATGAACTTTGTTTAGATTTCCTTTGTAGTTTGAATTAATTAAAAATAATGTAAGTTCCTCTTTTGGGGGTCATTTTTTTTATTTATTTTTAAGTGAATGCCTAAAAATGCCTACTATGGGTCTGACCCTCTTTTACTGAGGACAGAAGAAATTATACCACATGACTTAATCATTATCTAAAATGATACAACTTGGGGACATGAGTAATTTTATGCAGTGAAATCTTGCATCATTAGAATTTCTAAGTGTTAAAAGCTAATTTTTATTTACGTTTGGGATGTTTTATATATATAAAATAATTAATTAATTAATTAGGAAGGTCTATAGGTCCCTCCCATTGTCATGCTTTAATTGTGTCGCATTTGTAGATAAAGTTGAAGTTGATGAGCCTAATGAACTTTGGCGGTAACGGGTGATGGTGACCCGTATGGAATTATAGTCCGGACAAGTGCAAACACGCTGAAGTGGCGAGTGTTGGGCCTTCACCAGAGCCAGAGGAAACAAGCTCAAGAAAAAGAAGCCCGACCAGAAGGCCCAGATCTAGATTCACAATCCACATACTTGGCCCAATGAATTCTATCACTTCGCCTGTTCGGAAGAGCCCAACCTGCATCTGCCCATTAATAATTTCACAATACTTTAGAAACACAAATTAATTAGGAAAAACTACTTAGGTGAATTATGAGTACTAAATAATAAATTGGTCTATTTTAAAAACTTATTTTGTATTTTAATTGAATTAAATAAAATAATTACACGTACATTGATAATTATTGTTCACAACTAAAATATCATCTCAGCTTTTATTTTAAAATATTAAATTATCCTTCTTAAATTAAATAATTCATTCACTCAAAATTTTGTAGTAACCATTGTCATTTTTTAGCTACATCTCTTCACTATATTATAATCTTTAAGAGCTAAACAATTAAATTACCAACATGTGAAGCTCCGTGGAGTTGAATGAATCCATTTAGAACCTAAGCTCGATAATCACCAAAAAATAAAAAAATAAAATAAAAAAAGGAGGCTAAAAATGCTTGAATAAAGTTTCATAAATTATAACCAGATCTCGTGGTATTTCCTTTACTTTTTAAAGTGAATGATGAGTGTTCCAGTTTCCGAAAAAACAAAATGGATGTGCAAATTTCTTATCAATAACAAAAAAAAAAAAAAAAAATTTATAAATCATAAAGTGCGCAAGAAAAACAAGATTAGCTTATTATCTGTATATAGATTTCAATTTGATATTTTGACAAAGTAAAAGAAAAAATTCAAAACTTTATGCCTTGTTTTTCTTGATATCTCAAGATATGTCATTTAGCACTTTCTTCTTTAAGTTCTTTTTTCTTGCTGTTTGAATTTTCCATCGGTATAATAAATAAAAAATCATCTAACAACAAAGACAATAACATAAAAATTGAAATGTAAATGAAGAGAACGGTACCAAACCTATAAGGTCCTAAATTAATTTTTGTTTTAAAAATAATAATTTAATGTTTTAAAATAAGAGCTTTGAACCTAAATAATTATTATCAATGTATAAGTTTTTATAGTTAATTATCATTTTATGCTTTCAAATTATAAGAAGATGTTACAATAAAAGTTTGATGGGTATTTTGAATGTTAACAGTAATTATCAATGTATAAATTTTGTAATTAATTAAATTATATGTGTGATTGCCACACGATTTTTTGACTTAAATTTTATTGCTTTCATTTTCAATAATTACATGTACATTGATATTAGTGGAGTTTTACAATATATCTCATCCGCTCTAGAAATAAAAGAATAAGAACATGCTGCCGCCGGTGGAATAATGCATATTCCTGTTTAGCCGGAAAAAAAGCCCGTTGAAGCGTTTGCTGGGCGGATCAATCTCTCTCGGTATGTAGCATATTCATGAAAGAAACAAATAACAAACCACATTGTATTATCTCTCTCTATCTCTCTCTTTATTTATTTATTTATTTATTTCGCAAATAATAAGTAGTTTATGTATTTCTATATTCCCGTGTATTTGTGACAGATATACTCTGGTTTCTTCGACCCACCATCACTTTCACTCCTAGGCTAGCGAGCTCCCCTTCTCTCTCTAGTGTGAGATAGAACTCAAATTCGAACCGAAGGTGGCCTTCCTCTCTCTTACCACTTCCTTTAGAAAGTTCTATTTTGTTTGTGATCAATTGCACTGTGTTTGGAACCTTGGGATTTGATAGCAATTGGAATTTAAAAAGAATTTTAGTTGTTTGAAATGATGGAATTTGAAAAGGGAAAGGGATTTGATGGGATTCTAAAGGAAAATTGGCAAAGTGAAGAAATCCGTAGAAAAATGAAAGGATTTGATGAGATTTGGAATGCAATTACAATATTACTACGTATCATTTTATTAATTGTTTTCTTGTCTCTAATTTTAAAAATCTCCTTCACAACTACCACGTTTCTATATCCCAAATTGGTACAAAGATTATTTTATTTCAAATTCCTTTTTACAAATTCCAGCGTCTTCCAAACACTAAAATATAATTTTATTTAAGTACAATCCAATTCTTTTTCCATTTCCAATTTAGGGTTTTATGGAGAACTGGGGGATGAAGACAGATTACATAATGTTTAGTAATTGAATTTAAGCGTATACTAAAAAATAAAAATAAAAATAAATAAAATAAAATAAAAAAATTGAAATTGAAATAGAAAATAACCTGGGATTGACAAATTAGAAGATTGAGAAGACCCAGTTTAAATTTGGTGAAAGAACTTGACCCAGGTGAAGAAAACTGATTGAAATGGTTGAATCCTTGATGGGTTTTTTATTTTTATTTTTATTTTTATTATCATTTTATTTTTGAGAGAAAGACCCAGTTAGATTGTGCTTATGGCTGAGAATAGGTGTAGGATTTTTGTACATATAATATATTCATGTTACCATGGAACTGTGGAAGTCCCCTTCATGAATACAACTGACATTTGATATATATATATATATATATATATATATATATATATATTCATGGTCACCATGGAAGTACCCTTGAAATGGATATGTGGAAGTACTCTTGGTGTATATACATTTGATATATATAGTTATGTACACATGAACGTATGCATACAGTGAATGTGTATGTATGCAATTGTAGGGTGAGACCCAATTCTATTTAAAAAGAGGGGGAGTTTAGAGAGATAGTGTTTTAGATAAAGAGGGCAGTAAAAGAGAAAATTAAGTGTTAGTAAAAGGGTAAAAGTGTCTTCACATACATTTCAAGGGTAGAATAGACATTTTTAGCTTGATAGAGTAATGACATTTGTGTTGGATACCTTTGGCTAAATGGAGATTGACGGCAAGGGTCAATTTGTTACAAATGTGTTAATTGAAGGGAAGGCAAGTGATTTTTCAAAATATAGGGGAGCATTCTGTAATTTACCCTATCAAGAGGTTAGTGTAATTTGTCCTAAATGAATATGTATTTGCTAGAAGTACATGTGATAATTTAGGAGAGTCTTTTGTTTTCTACTCTAATTTTTCCGTCCCTAAATTTAATAATGAGACTTGAAAGAATAGTAACCAATTCTGCTAAATCTTGCACTTATACTATACAATCCAAGCTTAATTAAAGTGCAAAAAACTCTGTAAATTCACTACTAATATTGAGTCCAGTTTCTATTCCTTCAAGCATTCTAGTTAGGATAATATCTGTTTGGGGGTGATTCAGCCTAGACTTGGACACAAATCAGGTGGCCCCACCGCATGGGACCGGCCTAGCACCACTCTTCCAATTTATATTTTCCTGCAAGCTCGCACAATAGAAGCTCTTACAAACATATCTTCCATCACGTATTTCTACATCTCACTATGATTGCACACACAGCACAAGTCCTTCAATCACTATTCATCAAAGTAAAAAAGAACTCTCGACATCCTTCAAGCCTGGAGATCTCAGGCATTTTCTGACACCTTCATACAAAGAACAAAGAGCCAAATGTCTCAGCTCGCTTCTGTCTAAGTCTACAAGGCCGTTAAGGTTATTGGGCAGCCACTCCTCAACGTTGGTATATGACCTTTGTTATCTAGGGATGGATCAAGATCATCAACCTTCCACCTGCATGATGGAAATGGAAAGGAAGTTATTATTGGCAGCAGGAAGCAGTGTAAAAAATGAAATCATAGTAAAGGGCATTGACTCACTTGTATCCACTGCTCAGTCTATTTAAGAACACCAACAGTGCCACTTTTCCCATATTCATTCCCAAGCATGTCCTAGTTCCCAATCCAAAAGGAAAGTAACTGTATGGCTTTTGCATTTCCTGGTGACATGAAAAACATTTCACATTTTTATCATCATCTTATGACAAAAAAGTACTAGTAACAATCTTAGTGTGAAATATCCAAAGCAGAGTACAGAACTTATTACATCAAATCTTGAAGGGTTGAATTGCATAGGGTCCTTGTACAAAGCTGGATCATGATGTATGCGAGTTGCGTCTACGTTAACATGCCATCCCTTCTTTATCTCGAAACCTGCCATCACCACTTGCACAATATTGAACATTTTACTTGCTTGAAGAGAACAATGAGAGAGAAACTATTTTGATTATCATGTCTTGGTGTGCACAGAAATTCTGTATGGATTAGTCATAAATAAGATGGATATTTCTGTCTGAATCTTGTTCAATCTGTTTTCTCACTTTTTTTTTTTTAATTCAATTATATGAAACGGAGGTGAAACTTGCCTTCAATTATGCAGTCATTAAGTGCAACACGCGGAAACCACAATACGATATTTGACATTCTCAATGTCTCTTTGACAACCTAAAAATTGCATGGTAGTAGTATTCAACATTACTCATAGATGGGGCTTAAAATATCATGAACAAGAGGGTATACATATCTGTTTGATGTACAATCCAAATGTGAACAACATAAGCCAACAAAATCTTCATTGATATAGAACAAGTTGGTTTAGCTGTACTAACCTTTGAGCCATAGGACATGTTGTTAAGATCTTCAAGGGTAAGTAAGTATCCATCAGGCTTGTTTCTGAGTATTGCCAATTGCTCTTCCTGTAAGTACATCAAAATAAGAGCCCTTTTTTTTTCTTTTTTTCTTTTTTTTTTTTTTTTTGTATTAATAGGCTGAGCTGATAGTTTGGAGATCTTCTACTGGACCCTGTATGGTCAAGGGTCTCTAGGTTTGATAGAATCACTTAAGTGTTGGAAGTAGGCATAAATTCTCACCCTGAGCTTGTGTTGGGCTTCTTTGTTCTCATCCAAGAACTTGACACTCCACATCATTGCAGCTGCAGTGGTGGTATACCCAGCAATTATTAGTGTCAATAGATTATCCTTAATTTCCCAGTCATCAAGCTTTTCACTGGTTGTATATGAATCTCTCTGTAACATGGACTGCAAAAAATCTTCAGGAGACTCCTTTCCACTCCGTCGACTGGCAATCATCACTTCAAAAGTTTCCATGAGCCTTTTACGTGCCTGCTTAATTTGTTTCAGTTAGTAGCAAATAACTGTTAAGCTAAGGATGAATAAGATATTGTAATTGTATGTCACAAAATTAATGCTCATTTTGCAAAATATAATCCCCTTTTTTTGCTTTCCGTTTCTCTCATTTGTTTTTGTATTTAGTTTTTACAGTGAACAATGAGCAAGATGTTCTATGGTATCAGTAGAAATATATAAAAAGAAGAGAAATGAGAGAATTGCGTAAAGGCTTGAATGATATGAATTGCTCATTCACAGCTCTAGTATTTATAGATAAAATGAGTACATGCTCATATTACAAGAAAGGAAACTAAATCAAATCAAAATCAAATCACAACTTATTTTAAAGCATATTCTATAGCATATTCTATAGCATAGTCAAATCTCTGCTACTATGGTAAGTCATACCATAAATCGTGATATCATATATGCTAATATATCCATAGTCAAATCTCTGTTATTATGGTAAGTCATATCATAAATCATGGTATCATATATGCTAACACTCCTCCTCAAGTTGGTGCGTGGATATTTGAAACGTCCAACTTGGACAATGCATTCTCAAACACAATCTTGTTGACGCCCTTTGTAAGAATGTCTGCAAGCTACTGAGAGCTTGTGACGAATGGAGTGCAAATTTGACCAGAGGTGATCTTCTCTCGAATGAAGTGACAGTCCACCTCTATATGCTTAATCCTGTCATGCTGAATGGGATTTGCTGCTATGCTAATGGCTGACTTGTTGTCGCAGTAGAGTGAGAATGGAAGCGACACTGGAAGGCACAAGTCTATCATCAAGGTTTTCAGCCAAAGCAACTCACCTACCCCAAGAGCAATAGCCCTATACTCTGCCTTTGCATTAGATCGAGAAACAGCATCCTGCTTCTTACTGCGCCAAGTAACCAAGTTACCACAAATAGTGGAACAATAACCTGAAGTAGAACTCTTATCTGAAATTGATCCTTCATAATCAGCATATGTTCAAGCCTCAACACGTAAGTGACCATGATTGGCAAACAAAATACCATGGCCTGGACACCCTTTTAAGTAGCGAAAGATCCAAATAGCTGCATCAAAGTGGGGCACGAAGAGAGTGCATGAATTGACTCACGACACTTACGACATAAGCAATATCAGGTCGAGTCATGGATAAATAGATGAGCTTCCCCACAAGTCGTTGATATTGACCAATATCTGACAACAACTCCCCCTCAGAATCAGCGAACCAATGATTCTGCTCAATCGGAGTATCAGCAGGACAAGCGCCAAGCTGACCAGAAGCAAAAAGCAAGTCAAGAACATACTTGCTTTGAGAGATGAAAATGCCAGTCTTGGAGCGAGCCACCTCAATGCCCAAGAAGTACCGTAGGGGACCAAGATCCTTAATCTCAAACTGACGGCTAAGATAGCTCTTAACCTCATCAATTCTGGTAGTATCATCGCCGATAAGAACAATATCATCGATATACACAATGAGAGTAATTGTCTTACCGCCTGAATGACGTAAAAACAAGGTATGATCAGCTGCACTTTGATGGAAACCAAACTTGAGCATAGCAATGCCAAAGCGATCAAACCAAGCTCGAGGATACTGCTTGAGGCCATACAAAGAACGATGAAGACGACATACCATACCAGAATGAGCAGGAGAACGAAAGCCCGGAGGAGGAACCATGTACACCTCCTCCTACAAATCACCATTGAGAAAGGCATTCTAGCTGAAATAGAGGCCAAGATCGAATTACAACAACGGAAAATAATACACGAATGGTATTCATCTTGGCAACAGGGGCAAACGTCTCCTGATAATCTATGCCATAAGTTTGAGCATATCCCTTGGCAACCAATCGGGCCTTGTAACGAGCAACTGACCCATCTAGATTATGCTTAACTGTAAACACCCAACGACAACCCACAGCCTTTCATCTAATAGGAAGCGGAACCATGTCCCAAGTCTGATTTTTCTCAAGTGCTTGTAGTTCTTCTGTCATAGCATCACGCCATTGAGGTTGTGCTAGTGCATCTGTAACACTAGAAGGAACAAGAACCGAGGCAATAGAAACAAGAAAACTCCGATAGGAGGGTGAGAGAGCATAATCAGAAACAAAATTAGAAATAAGGTAAGTACAAGAACGTTTACCCTTTCGAAAAGCAATGGGGCGATCATCAAGCAAAACAATAGCTTGAGAAGGCGGAGCTGGTGCCAAAGGAACAGGCCAGTCGATCGTGGGAGAAGAAGCTTGTACCTGTTGTCTCCGATTATAAACCTGTGAAAATGGAACAATTCCCCCTGCTGGAGGGGTATAACGAGGAGGAATCATAGAAGAAACAGGTAATGGTAGAGGAGTTGAAGACAGAAGAAAGTGATCATCCATTATATTCAATAGGAACCATTCACTCTAAGAACCAACTGAACCACTATAGTATGGTGTATGCTCAAAGAAAGAAACATCCATGGATATAAACCGCCGACGACTATGAGGATGGTAACACCTATAACCTTTTTGAGAGTGAGAATAGCCCAAAAACACACACTTCAAAGCCTTAGGGTCAAGCTTTGTGCGAGTCTGCCCCAACTGCTGAACAAAGCACACACACCCGAAGACTCGTGGAGGAATCAAAAAAAGAGATGAATTGGGATGTAAGATTGAAAATGGGGCTGCAAAGTTAAAAATCCTATAAAGAGTCCTATTAATGATGTAAACAGCGGTAAGAACTGCATCTCCCCAAAATGACTGGGGAACATTCATGCCAATGCAGATTGCTCTGGCTAAGTCAAGGATGTGGCGATTCTTTCTCTCAGAACGACCATTCTGTTGAAGAGTTTTAACATTAGCCATCTGATGCTCAATCCTAAATTCTGTACATAACCGTTGTACCTCCCCATAAGTGTACTCTGTACCCTGGTCAGATTTGAATTTTTTAATGGTACGACCATATTGAGTCTGAACCATTGTCATAAAATTTTTAAAACTAGTGTATAACTCATTTTTTGTTTTCATAAGATAAACCCAAGTAACACGACTATGATTATCAATGAACAACACGAAATATCGAAATCCAAGACTAGAAGTAACTGGGCAAGGACCCCACACATCTGAATGAACAAGATCAAAAGGTGTTAAAGCAGATTTATTACTACTAGCAGAATAATTGGAACGAACATGTTTAGCCATATGACATGTTTCACAGGATAAATTTGACACTGCCACGTTACAAAATAAGGAAGGAAATAAATGTTTCAAATAACCAAAAGAAATTTGTCCTAAACGCATGTGCCAATGCATAAGCTGGGCTTTATTAGATGAAACACTATTAGAAAATGAAGCTGAATGCGCTTGAGGTGACAAAGAAACATCCAACAGGTATAAACCGTCCACTTCACGCCCACTGCCAATCGTCCGTTTCGACACCAGATCCTGAAAAATACAATGAGAGGGAAAGAACGTTACACTACAATTTAATTGTTTGGTAGCGCTACTAACAGAAATAAGATTTGTAGTCAACTTTGGAACATGAAGTGTATTTGACAAAGTTAATGAAGGAATAACTAATATGTGACACTTCCCAGCAGTGGAAGATGGAGAGCCATCCGCAAGGCAAACCTTGCGTTGGTTAGAGCAGATACTATAAGATTGGAAGAGTGAGGACATACCAGTCATATTGTCTGAAGCACCAGAATCAATGATCCATGGTATTGAAGATGTAGATACGCTATGTGCAGATACAACAGTACCTGAGTGGGCATAAGTGGAGGTTGGCTGAAATGATGCCTCCATTTGGTTGAAGAATTGCTTGAACTTGTCCAAATCAGCTTGAGTCTAGGTAACTGTGGCAGAAGATGTAGAGGCAGGGTTGTCAGGAGTTGACAACGAGACTGGTTGTGTAACAGAAGGTGCAGAGGATCGAGGCTGTTGTTTCTGTTGCGGTGGACGTCCATGTAAAGCATAACAACGAGATTTGATGTGACCAATTTTTTCGCAATGGTCACACCGTCCACGTTGTCGTCCCAGAGGAGGACCGGTGGTAGTGCTCTAAACTGACTAGGATGGTGAAGTTCTTGGAAGGTTGGGAACCTGAACTGCCATAGCAGAACAATCAACAGAAGCAACACCTAATGGATAAGTTCGGCGGCTCTCATCTAACAACACATAAGAGTATGCATCTTCAAGAATAAGGAATGAAGATAAGCCCAATAAATGAACATGAGCATACTCAAACTCATCGTTCAACCCGGCAAGAAACTGAAACACTCGATTCTTCTCCACAATTCCTGCATATAAAACTGCGTCATTTGGATCCTTCCAAGAGTGGAAGGAATCATAATATGACATCTCCTCCCAAATAGCACGAAACTCGGCGATGTAACCTAAAACTGTCAAGTCACCCTGAGAAATCCTGGTGATATCTCGCCCCAGCTGGAAAATTCGTGCATTATTCTGCCTCTGAGAATAAGTGCGTTGAATTGAATCCCAAATCTGCTTAGTAGTCTTCATAAACATATAGCCAATAGCTATGTTTGGTTGCATTGAATTGACTAGCCAAGACATAACCATAGCGTTATCTGCAAACCACTATGGATATGCCTTCTCTGACTCAACTGGCTCTTCATCAGAACCAGTAATATAGCCAATCTTGCCTTTTCCACCAATAATCATCTTGGCAGACTGTGCCCAAATCAAATAGTTGGAACCATCTAACTTCACTGTGGTGATTTAAAGTCCTAGATTTCTGATGAGTTGGTGGGAAAAATGGCACCACCACCCACAGTACTTGAGCCCAAAGAATTAACAGTTGAGGACCTTGAATATGCCATAATTTGTCACACGACAATAAAAAAAACACCAAAAATAATACAAATTCTGTTAATAAATCAAAGGATCTCCTCAGACCATAAACAATAACAATGTTTCCCCAGATCATTCCCGAAAAATCCAAATACATACCTTTTTTAAGGACCACTGTCCACTTACGTATAGCCAGACAACCTCCTTCTTAATATCCGGAACCTTTTTGTAGACTATTTTTTTTTTTACCCAAGCCCTTCTAGGTGTTGGAAACCAACTATCCCAATTTACCCAACCCTAGAAGAGTGAAAAAGAAATTGTAAAACTTAAAAATACATGTTTTCAATCACAAAACAGCAACATAGAAAAACATGTGTAGGCAACGTCACACAATGTCACAAACAGCCTAAGGTAGCTGTCGCACAAGTAGCAAGGCTGCTGAAAGGTGTAGAAAATGTGTTGGCTCTGATACCAAGTAAAAATATACAAAAAGAAGAGAAATGAGAGAATTGCGTAAAGACTTGAATGATATGAATTACTCATTCACAGCTTTAGTATTTATAGATAAAATGAGCACATGCTCATATTACAAGAAAGGAAACTAAATCAAATCAAAATCAAATCACAACTTATTCTAAAGCATATTCTATGGCATGTTCTATAGCATAGTCAAATCTCTGCTATTATGATAAGTCAAGCCATAAATCGTGGTATCATATATGCTAACATATGTATAGTCAAATCTCTGCTATTATGGTAAGTCATATCATAAATCGTGGTATCATATATGCTAACAGTATCTTTGTTCCAAACTGGCCAGTACACAATTGTCGTTCCCATTAAAAGATACTGGAAGAGGCAAATTAGATGCAGAGCAAACATTTGACATCATTTACACAAAGTGACTTGCCTCGGATTTGAATCCAGTCTGTATAGGTGCACCAAGTAATGGCCCCCAAAACAGTCAGACTTCTAATTCCAGGCCCTTTGAGTTGGCCTGGTCAAAGTCCTTGGACATGGAAAGCCAAACTTACCTTAATGCCTTTGTAGTATCTGGTGCCAGGAATCATGACAGGAAAGGATAACATGGCATCAGAAACATCGCTGCAGTCTCTCTCGAGCTGTCGTAGCAAGTAATGATCAGTGATGCTCATCAGCATGTCACACATTGCATCAAATGTTATCTACACAACAGAAATATACAATGAGGTTAGCAACCTGACTAATACTAATTTCTTAATTTTTAATAAATACTAATTTGTATATTTTTATTTATTATTATTATTTTCTATACCATGTGGCAGACCCTATTCATATGTAATAAAGGTAATGACGACGACAACAAAAACAACAAAACACACGATAATTAAAACATAATAAAAGACAAAAAGATAAAAACAGCAAACACCAAATGCGAGTGATAGAATCAGGTTCCTACCTTCATACTTACGTCGAGCATTGGAAAGCTTTTGCCACCTTCTTCTAATTTCTTCAGCCTTTCACAAAGCATGTGATCAAGCTTCTGAACAAACTTAGATAAAGAATTCATAGAGAATTGATCAGAGAGGATACGCCTAATCCTTTTATGACTCTCTTGAGGAGAGCATAGCAAGCTCTTCTTTCCTACAACATCTGCCATTGATTTCACATATCCTTTGTTGAATTGCACAAAGTCATTGGAAAATATTGCTTTTGCACCTTCAACACTTGGAACAAACACATGAATTTTGCCAAGTAGTCTTGTTTTGAACCACTCGCCATGCCTAATTAATCATCAAATCTATATTAGTTATTTAGCTTCCAGGAAGAACTAAACTTTTGTAAAAGTGCATAGCATATCAGCATTTATATTTACAGAAAGTGTCAAAGTGTATACAAATTTGATCCAAGTAAAAAAGAAAGGAATGATTAGAATCTAACAAAAATTTATCGAAAGTCTCATGCATGAATTCTAAATAGTTGAATAAAAAATTATATTTCAGCAAACTTCAATAGGGGGCTGCAGAAAGAATAGCATATCTAGGAAATGAAAATAAAATTAAGAATAAGAAAAATGAGAAGCTAAATATTTTTGTACTGTGACTAAATTGAATTAGGCAGAAGAGAAATACTAACCATAGTCGTCGGAGTCTCACAAACTCGTACGATCCTTTGGTACTATTAATGGCTGAGAAGAAAGAGAGAGTTTCACCAACAAAAGGTAAGCCTAGCCGGCCAGGGATGCTGCCTTTCTTACTTGCAACTCCTCTAAACATGTTTGAGATGAAAAATGTTACTCCTAAACAAAAAATTGCAGCAAAGATGATATCATAATAGTTCTGTACAAGGAAGAGAAACTCTTCTTCTGATAGAATCAACATCTTCAGCCTTCCTTGGAATTAAATCCTGGAGTCCAAGAAAAAAATAAGTTGAAGAGACTCGAATTATGGTTCAGCAGGTCGGAATCTTATATATGGATAGAAAGATGAGGCTTAACAGAACCTGCTTCAGAACATTGCTTTTGACTGCACCACTCAAGAACAATGCCAAGCCGCTCTAGCTTAATTACAAGATTTAATTTGGTATGTAAAGATGGTATCTATACTACATGTACTGCTAGGAAACAGTGAGTCGACTCTGAGTTTAGCTTAGTGTTAATTGTCACGTTGATTAAAGAAAGGGAGATATTTTAACGAATCTTTCAAATTTTGCATGATTACTGATATGGACTAAAGATTGTGTGATGTTTGATATGCCCTGCCACGAGATATCAAAAAGCTTTTCTCTGGATGATATTGTGAATGTAACATATATGCTTGGCGACTACATGTTGCAAATTCTATAGAATGTGTGATGATATTTAATCACAGGAGAAATAGATTATTAATGATTATATAGAAAGGCACCAATGAATGAACTATACTCTAGTTTTTTTTTTTAATTCTTATTTTTTGGTAATCATATCTGGCAAATATAAAAGGAAGGGACTAAGTCAATTTAAAAACAAGGTGTAATAGCACTTAGTTGTCATATTATTAGTAGTGCCCACATAAGATGCCCACTATGAAGAGGGCTTAGTGACAAACTGGAGTCTGTCCACTGATCATTATTGTGGCATGTAGATGTTCAAAAAGTACCCATTAAACTTGGTGTAGGGGGACAATGTTTTATAATATGATGCGACATGAATTAAACTTTTTTTTTTTTTTTTTTTTTTTGGCAAATTAGGGGGAGGAAAGACTTGAACACCCGTTCGGGGAGCTGGGTGCTCTGCCAACTAGGCCACCAGTAATGCGACATAAATTACTCCAATAGAAGAAGTCTAGATATGTGGAGAGAGTTTCCTTTTGTATGGTATGAACATATTGGAATATGGTTTTTGTACTTCTTTTGTATGTTAAATAATGATATATAGTTCAGTGCATATATGAATCCAGTTCATCACTTTTATCAAACAAGTTTTCGAATAATAATAAATTCAGATGCTTTCGAGGCCCACTACACACACATGATGTTTTGAGTGGATTGGCTAATCCGATTGCCTAACCCCACTCTTCCAATTAACTTTTTCCTGCAAGCTCATACATTAAAAACTCTTGCAAACATATATTACATCACATATTTCTAGATCTCATTATTAGCGCGCGCACAGCACAAACCCTTCAATGTCTCTATTTATCAAAGAAAAAAAAGAACTCTTGACACCCTTCAAGCCCTGAGATCTCAGGCATTTTTTGACAGTCATAAAAAAAATGCATACAGAGCAAAATGTCTCAACTTGCCTCTGTACAAGTCTCATTTGACATGGTCGTTAAGGTTATTGGGCAACCACTCCTCAACCTTGGTACATGTGTGTTGCTTTCCAGGGATGGATCTAGATCATCAACCTTCCACCTACATGATGGAAATAGAAATGAAGTTATTAGCAACAGGAACATTGGTAAAGAAGAAAAATGATACATCCCGGAGAATGCTGACCTGCCAACCGGGAGTTGTGCAAGCGGAGATGTGAATCCCATCACCATGACATCATGTGACGCCGTGGCGGGGCGCACAAAACCACTCACGTATTCCCTTCTCGGTATCTCCGAATTCGGACAATCTTGTTAAACAATGAAATCATGGTAAAGGGTATTGACTCACTTATATCCACTGCTCAGTCTGTGTAAGAACACCAACAATGACACTTTTCCCATATTCATTCCCAAGCATGTCCTAGGTCCTGATCCAAAAGGTATATAACTGTATGGCTTTTGCATTTCCTGGTGACATGAAATACATTATTCATTTATATCATCATCTTATAACAAACAAGTACTTGTAAGAATCATAGTGTAAAATATTCAAAGCAGAGTACAAAAGTTATTACATCAAATCTTGAAGGGTTGAATTCCATAGGGTCTTTATACAAAGCTGGATCATAGTGTATGCAAGTTGCGTCAACGTTAACATGCCATCCCTTCTTTATCTCGAAACCTGCTATCACCACATGTACAATATTTAACATTTTACTTTAATAGAACAATGAGAGGTACGAATTTGATTATCATGTTTGCGTGTGAGCAACAATTTAGTATGGATTAGACATAAATAAGAAGGATGTTTCTGTCTGATGCTTGTTCGATCTGTTTTTCTTTTTTCTTTCCTTTTTTTTCAATTATAAGAAACGGAGGTGAAACTTGCCTCCAATTTTGCAGTCATTAAGTGCAACACGCGGAAACCACAATAAGACATTTGACATTCTCAATGTTTCTTTGACAACCTAAAAAATGCAGGAGTTTAGTATTCAACATTACTCTCGTCTTAAATTGATGTGGGTAAAAGATAAAGAAACAAGTGAGCACACATATCTGTTTGATGTATAATCCAAAAGGGAACAACATTAGGCATCAAAATCTTCATTAATATAGAACAAGTTGGTTTAGCGGTGCTAACCTTTGAGCCATAGGACATGTTGTTAAGATCTTCAAGGGTAAGTAAGTATCCATCAGGCTTGTTTCTGAGTATTGCAAATTGCTCTTCCTGCAAGTACATCAAAATAAGTGTCTTTTATAACTTTAAACATTGATCTTTTGAGAAACTGAAATACGACAGAGGACGTTTATTTACTTTTATTTTTTATTTTTTTGTTTGTAATAGGCTGAGCTGATAGTTTGGAGATCTTCTACTAGGGACTATCTGATCAAGTGTGTGTACGTATGATAGAAGCACTTAAAATTGTTGGAAGTAGGCATAAATTCTCACCCTGAGCTTGTGTTGGGCTTCTTTGTTCTCATCCAAGAACTTGACACTCCACATCATAGCAGATGCAGTGGTGGTCTGCCCAGCAATTATTAGTGTCAATAGATTATCCTTAATCTCTAAGTCATCAAGTTTCTCGCTGGTTGGATATGAATCTCTCTGTAACATGGACTGCAAAAAATCTTCTGGAGACTCCTTTCCACTTCGTCGACTGGCAATCATTGCTTCAAAGGTTTCCATAAGCCTGTTACGTGCCTGCTTAATTTGTTTCAGTTAGTACCAAATGCTTCTAAAGTTATAGATGAATAAGATACTATAATTGCTTATCACAAAATGCTCAATTTGCAAAATATATTCCCATTTTTTTGCTTTCCATTTCATTCTGTTTGTTGTTTTGTTTTTGAATGTAGTTCTTACAGTGAGCACTGAGCAGGATCTACTATTGCAACTTTGACGGCAGCCGTTCCCATTAATGAGGATACTGGTAGAGGTAAATTATGACTTGCCTTGGACCCAAATCCATATTTTATTTTAGTGGGTTAGAGTTCTTTACAGGTGCACCAAGCAATGGCCCCCAAAGCTGACAGAGAAAGGATACCTTGATGTATACTAATTTCAGGCCCTTTATGTTGGCCTAGTCAAAGTCCTTGGACATGGAAACCTTGATGTATCTCTTGGACAGTAGTCAAGCTTACCTTAATGCCTTTGTAGTATCTGGTGCCGGGAATCATGATAGGAAAGGATAACATGGCTTCAGAAACATCGCTGCAGTCTCTCTCGAGCTGTTGTAGCAATGTTTGATCAGTGACGCTCATCAGCATCTCGCACATTGCATCAAATGTTATCTACGCAACAGAAATTTTCATTGAGGTTAGCAACCTGACTAATACTAATTTGTTTCCTATTTGTTTCTTTTTTTTACCCTGAACTGTGTGGCTGACCCCATCCATATGGGATAAAAGCATGGATGATGATTATGAATTTTTTTCCGAACCTATTGAAATTTCTTATCAGAATAACTTGCTTTACATGTCACATTGATACATTTGGGTTAATAGCACAGATATTATTTTGTTTTTTTTTTTTTCTTTCAGTTATAGATACATGTGTCAGAACCCTCTCCTCTCTCGACACACTTTTAGAAAATAGTTTTAGATGAGCCGTTGAAGTTCAATATCATATTTTCTATGTTAACACCAATATTGACAACAAAAGGCCAGGTATTGACAACATAATAGAAGACAAAAAGAATCAAAACCACAACACCAAATGCGAGTGATAGAATCAGGATCCTACCTTCATACTGAAATCTAGCACTGAAAAGCTTTTGCCACCTTGTAATTTCTTCAGCCTTTCACACAGCATGTGATCGAGTTTCTGAACAAACTTAGATAAAGAATTCATGGAGAAAGGATCAGAGATGAGACGCCTAATTCTTTTATGACTCTCTTGAGGAGTGCATAGCAAGCTCTTCTTTCCTACAACATCTGCCATTGACTTCACATATCCTTTGTTGAATTGCACAAAGTCATTAGATAATATTGCTTTTGCACCTTCAACACTCGGAACAAATACATGAATCTTGCCAAGTACTCTTGTTTTGAACCATTGGCCATGCCTAATTAATCAGAGTTAATTAGATTCCAGAAAAAAACTAAACTTCTGTACTCTAAAAGTGCCTAGCATATCGGCATTTATATTTACAGAAAGTGTCGAAGTGTATACAAATTTGATCCAGGTAAAAAAGACAGGAACGGTTAGAATCAGACAAAAACTTATTGAAATTTCTCGCGCATGAATTCTAATAGTTGAATCAAAAATTATATTTCAGCAAACTTCAAATTGCCTTGGACTCCTTTCTATGAAACAAAAATAAAATTATAAATAAGAAAAATGAGAATCTAAATATTTTTGTACTACAACTAAATAGAATAAAGCAGAAGAGAAATACTAACCATAGTCGTCGGAGTCTCACAAACTCATAACATCCTTTAGTACTGTTAATGGCTGAGAAGAAAGAGAAAGTTTCACCAACAAAAGGTAAGCCTAGCCGGCCAGGGATGCTGCCTTTCTTTCTTGCAGCTCCTCTAAACGCGTTTGAGACGAAAAATGCTACTCCTAAAGAAAAAATTGCAGCAAAGATAATATCATAATAGTTCTGTACAAAGTAGAGAAGCTCTTCTATTGATAGAATCAACATCTTCGGTTTTTCTTGGAATTAATCCTAGAGTCCAAGAAAAATATAAGTTGAAGAGACTCGAATGATGAGGCTTAACTGAAAATGCTTCAGACATAACATTGCCTTGGACTGTGGTATCTCAAGAAAGATGCCAAGCCTCTAATTTGAAAGATTCAATTTGGTAAAAGACAATATGATAAATTAAAAAATAAAATATTGGCTGTTTAATCAAAGCATGCTTAGGGATATATATATATATATATATATATGATACGTG